AGCACTGGGATTACAGGCGTGTGCCACCACACCTGGTTTCCATGGCTTCCATGGCTGGCACAATGCACCCAGGGTTCTAGGGCTGGCACTGCATGCAGTGCTGGGGACTGAACCTGGGTCCTTGCACTTGCCAGGCAGGCGCTTATGCCACTGAGCTGTATCCCCAGCCCCCACTCATACTTTTACATTCCTGTAGCAAAAAGCTTTTCTTCAGCAATGGGTGTGGTCATTAATTAGGGTCAACCCTAGGCAAAACTACAAATGAAGCTTGTTGGCCATGCCTGTCCCCTCCCTGCTCTGTACCCATCTACCAGCTGTGGGTACTTCTGCCCCCATTCCCACTGCTTCTAGATAGAAGGAACCAGCAGCAAGGCAGGAGGCATGTTGTGCAATGAGAGGAAAGTATTTTTTGTTATCCCCAAGTTCATCAGAGACTGTTACCTTTTTTCTCTCTAATACTCTTCCTATCTCTGCTATTTTCTGTAGACAAAATGCTTCATCTGTGGCATTGGCAATGACTACTTTGACACAACTCCACATGGTTTTGAAACCCACACACTGCAAGAGCACAACTTAGCCAACTACTTGTGAGTATTCTTGATTAACACAAATAATGGGGGTAGAGCAAGGGTTTTAAGAGTTCACAAAAAATTATGTTCCATATTTCAGACCCTGCTGATGCCACTTCTTCCCTTTTCTCTGAATAAAGTAAAAAACGATCAGAAAGGAAGCTCCCAGCTGTCCCCAGGAGGGTCTGTCTCAACAGTTGTGTGCCATGGGTGTTTTCTCTGCCAGTTAGGCAACCCTCGATCTATGCCTAGCCCATCTCATCTCAAGGACACATACCTCCAGCAAGGTCTCTCCCTCCTCAAGCTGTCACCACACAAATGCTTTTTTCTTTTTTTAAATGCTTTTTCTACTCTTCGAGAAAGTCCACTTTTACTTCCAGTGATTACCCACTTTTTCCTGTCAGCAAAACTTGAAAACCGCCCAGGCTCCGTCTCTATTTCTGCTTCCCATTCTTCTGCAAGCTCCCTCCCTATTCTGTCCCAAGCCTTGGTTGTATCAAGTGCCAGTGACTTGTGTGCACCAACTTCCGTGGCTCACTTTGAGGTCGTTACATCTGTGCACAGCTCTCTTTAATACAGACTCCAGGAGTGGGCCATTTCTCTGTATGAATGTTTCACACCGCATTGTTCCAGCACCTACAGCATGATGACAAATCTTTTAGAGCCTCCAATGATACTAGAGGCATAAGTGCCACACAAGGGTTTGCAGCCACCACTGATCTAGAAAAATGTCTGGCACCAGTGGCAAGAAGAAAATGAACACAGTAGATCACCCACTTAGGAACTCAATACCTTGACAAGGGCTGGTTGTAATTCAAATTGGTTCTAAATCAAGCCTTTTTGCCTAAGAAATAATGGAAATGCCCGTAACATGTTCCCAACCTCCCAAAGCACTCCTTAACTAATATTTTCATAATAAAGGGTTGTAAAATGTGTAACTTGCTAGAAACACCAAGTTTTCCTAGCATATTCACCAAAGAGTTATAAAATGTGCCTAGTTTGCCAGAAACAGCAATTCCTGCATACTCACCATTCAAGTTGCCATCTTTGCTTCCATAAGAACATCAGAAATCTGGCTTACCGGTGTCCTTCCTCTGCTTAGGAGAATCTGTAGCCACTAGGACTGGTTTCTAGCTCACCAGGTCTCAACCTTTTCAGAAAAACTGGTCTAAGGTGTTTTTGTCTTTTACCACTGTTCTTTTCCATTGTGATTACTTTCTCTATCTTCCCCTTCTTTTTTAGTTTCTTTTCTAGCTTTCTGGGGGCCATTTGATAGCAGGAAACCTAACTATTATATAAAGCACTGGCCGAAATCACATCCAGAAACACACACATCTGGGCCCAGATTAACTTCTGTATGCTTACTTACGCATGCTTTTTGGGCATTGTCTTTGTTTACAATCTCACAAACAGCTGGCTTTAGGTCAGGACACAAAACTTTGGTTGTAAGTTAAACCTTAAGTTTTAGTTGTAACCCACTGCTCATAATGACACCAATTCCTCTCAAGGGGCTACTATAACTGCACTCCTAAGGTAAAGCATCTGCTCAAGGACAAATTTTTGGAGCTTATTGCCATAGATACCCCCTGAAACAATTTAGAGAATATATGCTGTTATAGATAATATCTGATATTTCAGATTCCATAATTGGTCATTTTCAACTGCTCTTCCATCACCCCACTCCACTGTATTACTTAGAAAATCATAACCAATGATTAGGTACAGCCTTTGCAGAAAGTGGCATTACCAAAAAGTGGGATAGGTGTTTTTCGTTTTTAAATAACTTTAGTACACCCTCATATCCTAGGCATTAGTCACATAATTCTCAGGAAGAGCATTCACATTTTAGTGGAGGTGACAAGGACACACAGTGAAAAGGTGCACACACGGCCCTGTGTCAGGACCAGGGACTACAGAGAGGGAGGGATATCAGTCATCTAAGTTGAGATGCTCCTCCATGGTTCCTGGTAGCATGCTGTGGTCTGTTTTCTGTGTCTGTCCCACCTGAAATGCTGCTTTGCCAGCTAAATAAATGTGCTAAAAAAGGAATAATGTCCTACTGGACTGTCTCAAATATGATTAAAAAAAATTTAACTCTATGTTCTTTTCTTAACCATGGTAAAGAAAGGAGGAAATGAACATATTAGGAGCCACTCCTGTGAGCCATATGGCACTATCCTGAAATTCCTCATGATCTGAAGCCGAGGCTCCACCATCCTTAGAAAAGTACTCTTTCTCTTCCTCACTGCTAGTCTCATGCTCCTTTTCTTGAAGAACACCACTCATTCCTTTGGAAACTGTATGAGACCACACGCTGTCCATGTGCTGGGAGCCAAAAGCTCAGTCCCCGAGGAGCACTGTATCACAGAACCAGTAAAACTAGTTAGAGCCAACAAGACTACTCTGGCATTTTGCACTTGTCTAAAAAGTTTTAAAAAACTGTACTTCTGTTAGAATGCAAAGCATTTAATGAGATGAAATATGCTTTTTTCAGAACTGATATCCCTGAGGTACACGTGTGATTTCAAGTCTCCATTTATGAGATGATAAATTGGCTTATTAACTTTTATAGAGGTTGGGCTATCACTTTATTATGATTTTATTAATAAAATGGTAGGTAAAACACTACCTCATGAGTAGTATCGACTCCAGGGTTGGGAAAATGAGTATTTCAGTGCCCCAGGGTCTGCCATGCTTCCCCTCTTCTTAAGGCATAATAGTTTTTGCCCCGTTCAACTGAGTAAATGAATTTAGGCTTCTTATTAAAGTATCTAATATTTTGTCATTATGTTTTTTTCCTTTGTTTTAGGTTTTTTCTGATGTACCTGATTAACAAAGATGAAACAGAGCACACGGGTCAGGTGAGAAATAAAATGGTTTTAATTCAACACCATACACTTGTGTTAAATCTTCCCTTTCTGAAGTCTTAGTGCAGAGGACACTAATCTAATAACCCCCACCTTTAGGGTCTTGCACGCATCTTCCATCACATGTATGACCTAGGCAGCAGCCAGGTTTCCATGGTGACCTTGGTCTACTCCACTGGTGGCAAACCTATGGCATAGTGGCTGTTTGCATCACAGAAAGCTCTGAAAAGTTTGTCATGGGTGACAGTCCTCCTGGCAATTCTTCCCACCATACACTATTTTCTAAGCCATTGTGGTTATTGCTTCAGAGTAGAATAGCTGGAGGTGGGAAGAACATTACCAGAAAAAGACAGCAACAAATGGAGTGGGTGGCTATATAAAAGAGCAGGAAAATTAGAGTAAGATGGTGTGAGAGACAGCATGTGGCAGATAGCAACCTTGAGCGTGGGTGCTCACAGGAATGTGGAGGTGTGTGAGAGAGCGGATGAGCGAGATGTGTCAAAGAGCCTGTGACTAAGTATGAAAAAGAAACACAAAGGGAGAGAGCAGTGAAAGAAGGTAGCAGTTATTCAACACTGGATCTGTAGGAAACCTTGACAGCTCCAACACTCAGGGAAAGGAAGTTGAACTCTATCTCGCTGCAGTTCTCCAGGCCAACACAAGATTCCCTCAGCATCCACTCTTCTGTGTCCCCCACAGTCAGTCTTTGGCAGGAGAGTGGAATACTAAAGAGTCAATCTTCCTCCTCTCTGACAGCACTGTGAGGAAAACACGAATTCTCACTCCCAGAACAGTGGGGGCTGGGAAGAGAGCAAAAAAAGTGTGCCCGCTGCACACTCATGTGCTGGGCTCACATCTGCTCTCATCCATTTTCCTACTGGAAGTCAAATTTGGTTTTAGCTTACAGTGGTGTAAAAAGAAGTCCCCTTTGTTCACATTATTTCAGGAATCTTATGTGTGGAAGATGTACCAAGAAAGGTGCTGGGATTTCTTCCCAGCTGGTGACTGCTTTCGTAAGCAATATGAAGACCAGCTTGGATAAATCTGAACAGATGTGCCACAACCCTGGACAGTCCACTTCCAGTGAAAGAAAACTCTCCTTTTACAATTCTGCAACATATTTGATATGTGACATTTTCTAAATGTCTCCTCTACAGGAAAGTATTTGTTAAAAATTGTATTTTGTGATTTTTTTTTTTTTTGAAGTTGATTTGGCTTTTTATGCCTGATGGAAATATACTGTGGGTGACAACCACAAGATGGGAACAAAGCAAAAGGAGGGAGATGGCGAGGAATCTCTACTTGAATGCCTTCAAAGTTTTTCAGCTCTAATGTAACTAACCTGTTGCAAAGGTAGCACTGATGAAAGGGCCAACAAGGATTGAATGCACAACACCTAAAATTTTAAACATGTGAATGTCATACAAGTTTTCACCAGTGGCTCACAGTCTGAACTACACAAAATCATGTTAACTACAGTCTAACTTCTCCCATGGTACTTGCTAGTGAGTGTAGCCAGAATCAGCTTGAAAAGCTTTAAGCAGTTAATGAAATAGAAAACAAACCAATACTCTGTTGACACTGAAACACTGATTAAGTGCCTTAAAAACCTCTTTAGATACAGCTATGCAAGTTTTTTATGTTTGTGCTCCAGAAGGACAGTTCCATTAAATAGTTGTGTTCAGTCTTACTTTCTGAAACTGCACTTGAAGGTTATTCATACGTTTTTCAGTAACAGCTTGTCAACTGCTGTTATTAGGAGAAAAGTACTGTACTGAAAATTCAGAAAAATCTCAATCTTATGCCAAAATTGAGTAATGCTTTAGGGTTCCTTGTAAGTAGTGGAGCTGCTATGTTTTAGGTGAATTTCTCAAATAAAATGAAGTGCCCACTGCAATAAAAGTAATACACACCAATCCGTGGTTTGCTCTTTTATAATGTACCTCTTCTGAGTGAGTCTGCAGGTTCACTGTGTGGGTCGGGGGAAAAGGACACAAAACAGTAGCCTAAGGCTCCACATAAGGAAAACAAAACTCCATAGACCAGAGAATGTTTATTTTGGCCAAATGTGTGCCTTGTTGTACACATGAATTCTCATAGTAAGCAGCACCTGCTATGCTGTAAACATCAAGGAGATGGAAGCTGGAAACATGGGGCAACACCCTGCCTTAAGGAAATCTATTAGTTTACTAAGCCAGAGAACAAAAGCAGTGAGCCCCATGTAGGAGTACTGTTCCAGATGCTGTCAGGCAGAGGTGGCTGATGCTGAAAGCGTAATGCATGCTCCAGCTGGGGGCGTGCTGGTGACAGGACTGGCCCCAAGGACAGCCTGATGCCCACCTGCACTGAAAAGGCCACCAACGTTCGCTTCACGCACTTTCTTTTGTTTTTAGGCAATCATGCTGTCCAGCCAGTCTTCCAACTCTTCCTCAGTAACATTTTTAGATGTACTTGGTGGCTCAGATTCTACGTTCTTTTCTTCAGTCACAGATGGCTTTGCGGGAACTAGGGAAATAAAAAGCAGTGCTAATGATCACGCATTAATATCAACAGCAAGGACTAGACCCTCCCCAGGGTTTGCTCCACAATATAATTCATCCCTACTTATTGCTTTCCCCATAACAGAACATTCTCATTATCATTAGTCCCCCAAAGATGAAACAATAGCAAAACAAATTAATAAATGAGGTAGAGATTTGCTCTCCTATTTATTCTGAAGGTGAATTTCACTTCCCCTATTTCTTAAAAAAGACCAAGAGCTCAGCATTCTTTTTCACACTGTAGCATTTCTGAAAGATCATTAATGATTTCAGATGGAATTTCTGAACGTGGCAATGGCCTTCAGCCTCATCACCCTCTCACAAAACATACACAGATGAAAACGAGTTGTTCTTTTCTATCAAATCAGATCGAAGTATCAAGAAAAAAGTATGAAGAGCTGGATTACAGACCAGTTCAGTCGATTAAAAGGTCTGCTGCTGAACAGCTGAGAGCTACAAGCAGCTAAATGTCTTTTTCAGCAGAAGTTCAATTTGCAGCTGCAGGCTCAATGCTACAGTCAGCCAGGTAGCACCTTGCAAGCTGGGTGCAAGAGTGAGAGGGATGGCGTTAGAAAGGTCACCCCGGGGGGAAGCAGTGAGAAAGGTCAGCTCAGGGGCAGCAGGGGGCATAGCAACAGACGTTAGGAGCAATGCTGGATCAATGGCAGACACAGGGGGGGTGTGCTGATGGGGGGTGGGCTGTTCACAAAATCTCCTGAATGGAGAAGATGCACAGGAAGTAATGGAAAATCATACCTTGTTCCTCTTGTGCCGCCTCTCCATCTTGCTCAGATTTCAGGTCCTGAGACATCTCTTCTCCTAAGATGTCATCTCCCTCTTTTACAGGCGCATCTAAATTAAGCAACAGATCTAGTTCTTCTTCCAAATGGTCTGCTGCTGACTGCAGTGGGGAATCAGGTTTCTGTGCAGCTCCTAAAGGACCAGGCCTTGGGCTGTCTTTTTCGAGGGACCCAGGGCAGCCAGCAGTAGAAGATCTCAGCTCTGAGATGGGGCCCCTTCCTCCAGGCCCCAGGGGCCGCTTCAACTGCATTCCTAGTCCCTTGCCATCATCGGTTCTCTTTGGTTTCACCTGAGGAAGCTCTAAAGGAACTGTGTTCTGAAAAAGAAACACAACAGTCAAGTTATAAGTGTGAGTCTTTCCACAAATGCTTAGGCAGAAAAAAAACACCAGGCCACCCAACTTTGAGGGAGCGCAAAAGGAAGTCAGATGCCTATTTCACAAATGTCTTCCTCTGGAGCCCTGGGGCACACATGAGAGAACTCATGAAAACATAGGACTGTGTCTTATTTTCCTCCTGGGGCACTGCTAACCAGCCTAGAGTTGGAATCCACAGGTCCATGTCTTCCTAGCATTGGCCTGAAAGCTAACCATACCACAGGTCCACTTTAATTTGTACATCAACCTGTAATGACATAAAAATTTATAAAAGTCACCAAGAAGAAATTAGCTAAAATTATGGAAGAAAAAAAAGGAAATTAGCAAAGCAGCCCTGTCATTATATTTAAATGAGTTAGCATAAAAGGAGCAGGAAAAATTCCCCAAGAAGTAACAACTCTCAGCAATATTTGACTAAAATGTGCCAGCCAAGAAAGAAAACATACTAAATGATTTGTTAAAAAACAACATAAACCAATGGCATTAGAAGCCAAGGCAGTGGCTGTCTTTCAGGCAGACAGTGAATCAGAGAGGTTGTGAGTGATGGCTTCTGCGGGCTGACAATGATCTGCCTCTTGACTTGGATTCCTGCTTGGTGGCTGTAAATATGCAAGTGTACATTTGCATTTCCATGGCTGTGTGACACTTTAAAGAAAGTTAAACACTGCCCAGATTGCATTTGAAAGTCAAGGATCTGGGCCATTGAGATAGCTCAGTGGACTAAGCACCTACTTAGGCAAATCCAGGGATCAATGGGATTTAATCCCCCCACACCACAGGCCATGCTAGCCATGCCCCTGGGCATGCTGAGCCAGCAGACCCCGCCTGCATGGTGGCACATGCCTGTAATCCCAGCACTGGGGAGGATTAAAAACAGGAGGATTACTATGAGTCCAAGCTGCACACCCTGTACAAATACATTTAAAAAAAAAAAAAAAAGACAAGAATCCTACTCCAAAGAAAAGGCTTGCAGGGTGATCAGGGCCTCACAGCCACGAGGCTAGAATGAAGTTCAGCCTCTACCAGGGCACTGATCCCTTGTTTTTATTTAAAGCATCCTAGGTAAATCCCATTTTCTAATAACTCTTTAGGGGTTTTACAGATATTCAATACGGTATGGCCCTAAAAACACAAACTGGACTAAATGTCCAGCACTGAGCACTACATAGGACAAAGACAGGATATGGTCTGCTATTCTAACCCTAAAATCCTTTGACCTGGAGTGTGTGGCTTCTCGGTTTCGTTTTGTTTTTCACTCCCTAGATGATTCTAACATGAAAGCCCACAGAAAACGCCAGCTCTTCCTTGTTTTCTCCATTTCCAATATATCCCTCCCAAATCCTATTAATGTCACCTCTGAAATCCCACTTGGTAAATCCACTTGTCTGCTGTCCCCAACATCACCCTAGGCCAGCCACAGTGTTGTGCCCCGATCCCTCACCATTCTCATGCTGGGTCCCATCTCCATCCCCATGCAGGCAGACACCTACATTTCTAGCCCCCCATTCTGCTGCATTTGTTTGCTGTTACACTGTCATTTTGTTAAAGCAGCCCTGCCTGAGTGACTGTGACTGTCCTCCTCTATATTTTAGCTTACGTGTTCTTAAGCTGAGGTCTGCAGATCACCAGTCACCTCTTCAGGAAAGCTGTGCCTGATTTGTGTAATACGCTAATTCCTGGAGGGACTGGACTAATACCTATCTGGATTAATGACATTCCAAGAAGAGAGGAATCCTCTGTCCACTCACCACTGTGTTTCTAGTGCCCAACACAGGGCCTGACATATTCTGAGTAAAACAACAGACTAAACATTTTATTCACTTTCATTGTACTTGAGCTTTTATAATGTTCCAAATGTAATGCATAAACTAACTTTAAAAAAACCTTCAAGCACTGCAAATATCCCTCTTACTACAAAACTTCATCTCAGGAAAGTCTGAGACATTACCTTTTTTTTTTTTTTTGAGACATCCTACAGATGAATATCTTTCCTCTAATTTTTCTGTCCCAAAACAAAATAGTTTGCAGGTACCTTCAAGGGTTTTTACCTGGATCAGCTCAGCAGCCACATTGAGTCGAAGTGACAGAGGCAGTTCTTGAAGGGCCCGGACCAGTGACACACTATCCACATACAGTGCTGAATTCTATACATATGGATTTTTAAAAGAAAGAAAATAGCAGGTAATGATTGTGACATTTTAGAAATTAAAAATAATAATAATAAGCTACTTACTGACATTACTTTTGGCTAGGAATAAATGAGATCATAAATCACATTTGAAGGGCAGCAATTTCTCTGTCCACATAAGTAACAACACAGCTTTAATCCTAGCACTCTGGGAAGCTGAGGCTGGAGGGATGGCAAGTTTGACTGCAACCTAGGCAAGCTCCTAACTTAATGAGACCCTGCCTTAGAATTAAAAAAAAATAAAAATAAAAATAGGACTGGGATATAGCTTAGTCCAAATGCCCTGGTTCAATCCCAGTGATACCAGAAATATATACATACATACATACATGTAGAACAACCTTCTAGAATCCCCAGCTCACACTGCTAGGGTAGTAGCAGGGCAGAGCTCACTCTCACATTAAGACTACATAGGAAGCCACAAACTATGGAGGCTTTTGCAATTACTGGAAAGCTGAAAGAAAACCAAGCATGTCATGAACTCTAACTGGATACTTCCCTATGTTCAGATCAATGGCCCTGCGCAGAGGAGGAAACACCCGACCAGTTAATGAGATGGGGCTCAAGGGCACTCCTGAAGGAGCAGTACACTTGAAGGCTCTCTAAATCAGGAGGTAGAGAATGGAAATTTACTCTCTCGTGAGCAGCACTCTGTGTGGTCTCATCACTAAAAGCTGCATTTTACTTCTCTCTTCCTCAAGAAGTAAAGCGGTACTGACAATGTGAGAAGACATTACTAGTCCTCTGGCACCTAACACCTACCTGCATGGGGGTCTTGGCACCAAAGAAAAGCAAAAACCTAGATGATCACAACAGCCTCACACAGAAAGGACAATGCCATCCAGGTCCAGTTAGCACCATGTCTTATCCTACAGTCCCTAACTTCAGTTGAGGAGAAGCCAGGGACATTTAGTTTAATCTATACTGCAAGAATGACTCAAGCTGGGGCTGGGGAGATGGCTCAGTGGAATAAGCGCTTCCCAGGCAAGTGTAAGGGCCTGAGTTCAATCCCCGGTTCCGCAAAAAAAAAAAAAAAAGACTCAAGCTGATGAGCTTACACTGGTGACATCTACACACATTGCTGGTGAGCTGAAAGCACAGCCTACTCCAAACTCCAACTCAGGGTAGCAAACCATCACACAATAGCAGAACAGGAGAAGCAAACCAAGTGACCTGGCTTCTCAATGTCCTCTTGCAGTGGTCCTAAGACAGCTCTTACATAAGCAACCTGGACAGCACCAAATGGGATTCTCTACCTTGGAAAAAGAAAATGAGGTTTAAAAAGTAGAGTACTTAAGGGAACAGAGGGGAAGATAACCACGTCCTGATAAGAAATGAGGCATTCAGGATTTGAACAGACTATTCTCTCATCTTGAAAACACCACAGCAAGTCCTGTGACCTAAGCCAGCATGTCCAAGTCTCTGCCTGTAAGGCTGGAAAACCCCCCTTGATGTAAAGGAATGCTGGGATCCTGAATGTTTAACCAATGGGGAAGTTGCCATATAACAAACTGGAAGCCCCACCTTTACCACAGGCAAATTCCTGCAAAGTCACAGTGTATAAAAACCCTCCTAAAAACCAGTAAGGATGTCTTGTGATGCATCAAGGTTCAGCTAAAAGCATCCAGATTTCCTTTGACCTCTTTTCCATCACACAGAACATAATAACAAGGTACCCTGTGAACAAGCAAGTTTGTGGACTGAACAGGGAACCAAGAGAAATCTCTGGCTGCATTTATGGGGCAATCTCTGACTACAGAAGTGTGGCTATGACCCCTACAGGAATGTCTTCTCCCATGCTGCTAGCTCCCCCCTTCAAGCAGTGCCCATGTGACTTCACACTGTTTCACAGACAGATATTAGCAGGCCTCAGGGACAAAGCGAGTCCAAAATAGCATGTTTTGCTAGTTAAAGAAATAAACACCTTGACAGGAAAAGGAATATTGTGGGACTGTCCTGCTTCAAGGTTGTATATGGTGAGATTTTTGGACTTATGTGCAAACATGAGAAATATACAATTCTTTA